AAAACTCTCTCTCTCTCTCTCTCTCTGTCTCTCTCTCTCTCTCTCTCTCTCTCCTTCCGCCATTCCCTCCCTCTCTCCCTCCTCCCCTCTCTCCCTCCTCTCTCTCGCTGCATTTATAAAATTAGTTTTTTTTAGTTGCTTAACTGTATTTTTTTACTCTGCTGCAGTCTGGTTTGTTACATTGAATGATGTCTTCTGCCTCTCTCTACTTCTTGCTGTAGCTTTATAGTAAGTCTTGAGTCTGGTGAATTGGCTAGTGAGAATTCTTTGTTATGTAAATTTTAGCATAAGTGTGTGTGTGTGTGTGTGTGTGTGTGTGTGTGTGTGTGTGTAAACCCAGGTAGGGTTTAAAGGCTGTACTTTAATCCTTTGAGTGTGTGTGTGTGTGTGTGTGTGTAAACCCAGGTAGGGTTTAAAGGCTATACTTTAATCCTTTGAGTGTGTGTGTGTGTAAACCCAGGTAAGGTTTAAAGGCTGTACTTTAATCCTTTGGTGAGTTTGGGGGAGAATTGATGTCTGGACTACGTTCAGTCTTCAAGAACAAATGTATTCGTGCCAATTTGAGATTGGTTCAGACCTGGAGGTAACTTGTTACGGACAGCTTCTAGTGGTGATGGGGTAGGGTCAGCTGTTGCTGTTAGTTTACCTCATTTGTTTGTTGTGAAATCTTTCCTGAAGAATATTAATTCAGCAGCAGTTTCTTTAAATGATGAAATAGGAGGGTTCATGGAGTATTGTCTTTCCATGGTGTGTGTCTTGTCTCTTGGGAACTTTGCAGTCCCCTTGCAGACTTCCCTAAGGTATAGTTAAGGTGTGAGATCACAGAAGCTGCCAAATAGATCATATTTGTAAGATGGCCTTCAGCTTCTCCCTGAGGATTGCCGGCAGCTGTTGTGAGTGTCTAAGCCTGCATAGGTAAGCCCGTCCTCAGATGTGAGTCAGACATATCGTTGGCATTTGGGAAGGCATCATAACAGAGAGAAAATATGGACTGGGGCTGAGAAGAAAACAGATCCAATCTCTTGAGGGTTCAGAAAGAACATAAGATTGTCAAGATGAAAGATTTACAAGAACTTAGAGATGTAAATGTGTCCAGGAAACGGAGAGTATGATGCTGTCCTTGTACTTACTTGCATTGTTCTAGGTGTGTGCTGTGGCCTGTGCATACACACTAAATAAACATAAAAAACAAAAGGCTACTGAGAGTAGGAGTAAGTGTGCCGTCTTATGTAATAGGGTATGATAAGGATTAGATGAAATAAAGATATATAAAGGAATTTGGATTCATTCCTGACCTGGAAGGAGCTAGTATCATTTGGTTATCATCTGTCTTAGTGAGGGTTTACTGCTGTGAAGAGACACCATGACTAAGGCAACTCTTATAAAGAACAACATTTAATTTCGGCTGGCTCACAGGTTCAGAGGTTCAGTCCATTATCATCATGGCAGGAACATGGCAGTGTTCAGGCAGGTAGAGAGTCTTAAAGCCCACAAAGACACACTTCCTCCAACAAGGCCACACCTCCCAGTAATGCCACTCCCTGAGCCAAGCATATTCAAACCACCACATCATCATATTATGAATGAGCATAAAACATGCTTTCATTTGAGCATCATAATGTTTACATAGCTTGTTTAAATTCACTCACATTCCTGACTGTGGTTATTGTCTCAGACATTAGCACATTGACAATGTTGTACTTAAGAGTGAGCAAAACCTCACACATGAGAACGGCAGAGAGTAATATCTGAGTGTCCCCTGGATCAGACACTAGGAAGCAGGGACAAGGAGACACTTCCACAGGTGCCCAGAGCGTCCTGAGCGCCCAAGGTGCAGTGCTGGAGCTGGGAGAATCAGGGAAGGATTAGAGCACATCTGAGTGCAAACCTCACAAGTTCTCTCTGAAAAATATGCAGAACACGGTTGCATCCAGAAACCAGAAGAGAGGAGAGAGCTGAGGATTCTCTAGTACCTCACAACCTCGTCTGTGAAGCCAATTCCTTATGAAGTAGAACATTACTTCCTAACTGTTCTCCTCAGATGTGTGAGTAATACTTCACCCTGCACTCAAGCTTTGAGTGGTAGGTACTAATTAGTGAAATGTGTGACTAATTCTGAACAGTTGAGTCATCTGCGGGGATTTTAGGGATAAAAGAACTGTAGGATATAGTGAGCAAAAGACTTGTCATTGAGTCAGGAAGTGAAGTTACATAATGTGTGATCACAGAGTGAAAGTCAGGATTAAAATTGAAACTCCTTGTTCTGTAGGTAGGCATATGAATAAATTCAGTTGTGAATGGACCTAATGTTTCCTTAAGACTTCTTGGAAGCTCAGCTGTTACTACTGGCAGGATAATTAGACAGGTAATGCAAAGGATCTCTTACAAACTGTTTAAGGTAGGAGCAAAATGAAGTGACTGTTGCCTAGAAGGAATGGAAAAATATTACAGTGTTGCAAAGTAAAATAACAAGTGCTTGCTTTCCTGTCTGGCCTTGCTTTAGTGGTGTTAAAACACAAACGTTCAATCTTTCTTATCCTTACAACCTATGAAGGTAGATACATAATCCTCATTTTGCAAAACAGTCAAAGCTTAAACTAGTTCATATAGTTGGCAGTTGAATAATTAAGTTTTAAGCAGAACGTTGACTCTGTAATATATTTAAATCGTGATATTTTGATCAGCAATTATGTATAATTGTACTGTCTTTCTATGCAATGGTAGCATACAGTAGATGTTGTTTCAGAGACCTAAGATTTGAATTTCAGAGATGAGTGGACAGATATCTGCTCCAAAGAGATACTAAGGCAGATGTATTCTTCTTACCCTAACTAAAATTCTAGACAACCTTATAAAACATGATTGGAAAGTAGGCAGGCCAGGCTTCAGGCTTTTAGAGATGTAAGCAGGGTAAGTTTGAGGTTGCACCAGCTGCCTCCTTGGGGACAGTTTCCAGACTTAGCTTAGGGAGAAGACCAGGCCTTCAGAGATGCACAAAGGGATGAACTCAGAGGAAGGCTTTGCATAGATAAGGTCTCGGAGAGAACAAGGGAGACCTCACCCCAGAAAACCCTTAGAGCTTTGCTGAACTGCAGAGTGTGGTGGGTACTGGTGTGTACAAACCATCTGAGGCCAGAAAAATATGAGAAGTCAGCTGGCTGCAAGTAGTTCTGCTCCCTTACCAGAGTGGGAAGGCCTCTGTTCACCTCACTGCAAACCCTTGGAAAGGTTAGCCTTAGCAGTGCATCTGAACTAACCCAGAGTCAAGGCCAGGGAGCACTCCCAACACAAATATCAAAGGAAATTTCCAAAGGAACCAATTAACTCCTTTAATAAAAAGTAGATAGTTAAGACCTGATGGAAATATAACCAGGATTTTCTTGAGGAAGGTAGACGAGAAGGGGTCTAAAGGGGGATGTGGAGGAAAGGTTACAGCTATTTGGGCAAAGAGGAAAACTTAAAATTCCAAAGCAGTGAGTCTGAGGTAAGCAGATTGCCAGGTAAAGGCAGATTGACAACCACAAAGAAAGAAAGGACTCTGCATAGCACACTCAAGGGCTGTGCAGATACAGGCAGAGCTGATTTTCTGTTACCAGATATTGAGGGTCTTAAAGTCTGTTTTTCATACTGACTTTTTATTACATATCTCAGACTTGTGAAAATTGACACTGTAACTCAAGTAATTATACAAGTAATTAAAGTCAAACTTTATTTTTCTATACTGTTTTGTTTTGGTGGGCTTTTTACAGTGAGAGGGATTGAACCCAGGCTTCCAGCATTCTGGGCTAGTGCTCTAGCTTGGAGTGTATCTCTTGTATCACAGAGATGTGCTCTGCCAGAGCCCAGTGTTAGTGCTACAAAGCAGGCAAGAGGTTTGTTTGTTTGTTTGTTTGTTTGTTTGGGGGGATTTGTTTTGAGATAGTACCTCATTTTGTAGCCTCAAATTTGAGATTCTCCTGCCTGCCTCTTGTGTGATTGGCCCTTTTGAGGACACCAATCTGTGAGCGGTCCCAGCCACACATGTGGCAGTCATGCCAGCCAGAGACATGGGGCTAGCACACTGATCATGTAGAGAATGGAAACTGCTTCAGAGGCCACTATGGTGGAAATATTTCATTTTAGAAAACAAAAACAAAACCCCCATTCTTCCTGTTAAGAGTATTTTTTTCTTCCCAAGTAATCAAAATGTACCCAACTATATGATTGTGAGTGGAAAGACAGGGAACATAAATCAGATATGGGCAGTTTTGCATTTTTATTTTTATGTGAATTTTCAGTATAAATTCAGGAACATAAAGCATTAAGTCTAAATGTTACAAAGAAAAGCAGTTTAACATTATAATAATTGGAAATTAAAATGTAAGAATTTCTGTGCAATATCAGCATCTCGTTTTGACTTTTTTGGTGTCTATGTATGGTGTGTGTGTGTGTGTGTGTGTGTGTGTATGTATGTATGTATGTAGATGTGTGCATGTAAGGTCACATGTGGAGGTCAAAGAACAAACTTTTATAGTTATTAGTAAGATAGTTTATACTTCTCTCTCTCTGTCTCTTCTCTTCTCTTCTCTTCTCTTCTCTTCTCTTCTCTTCTCTTCTCTTCTCTTCTCTTCTCTCTTCTTTTCTTTTTTTGAGACAGAGTCTTTCTACATAGCCATGGTTGTCCTGGAACTCAGCCTGGTCTCAAACTCAAAGAGATAGATGTGCCTCCTCCTTGCTGGGATTAAAGGAATGTGCCACTATGCCCAACTTTGGTTTGTCTTTCTTTGTACTGAATTTTCAAACAGTGCATTTGAACCTAGACTGGCTATATTTCAAGTATTAGGTATCTGGGGATGTTGCCCAGTAGTAGAGTACTAACTTAGCATTTGTGACACCCTGAGTTCAACCATACAGGGAAGGGAGAGAAAATGAAAGGGCCATATAGTTAACATCTGCTATACTGGGCAGCAGATGTCTAACATGATTAGTTAAGTAATGATCTTTTTTAAATTTTCCAACAGACAAGGATGGCTGCAGGAGTCTTGCCGCAGAGTGAAGAACCATATTCCACGTTGGTGAATAACAGTGGGCATGCTGCACACATGGATGGTAATACCCTCCTCAGTGTACTTTCTGTCGCTTTGTGGAAATTTATCCTTAGTAAAAGTGAATTGAAAGGCTCTGAAGGAAAAGCTCTGTTCTTCATTTCAGCGGCCTGGGCCCAGGTGTTGTTCATGGCCTTGGCTTTTTGCCTCACTGACTGGCCTGGTAGAATTCCTTTACAAAACCCTGAATAATGTCTTGGCCTTTTGAAAAAGAGGTGTGGCAAACTGTTTGTCTCCTGCATTATCATCTTAGGCTGAGATGACACATCTGTTCCTGACCTTACTCGGCTGCCTGGGAGGCAGCCATTCATTTCTTTCTCCTGCAGTTACATGCAGGAGTCACTTGCAAAGCGTACTCAGACGTGCCCAGGCCCAGCTCTATCAGCGGTTTTGTGCGGTGTTTTCCTGTGGTACCCAGGCAAGGAAGCATGCCATAACTTATGCTCCTATTGCTGTGCTTGCCTTCCATCCTCTTGTAGTTCTGAGCCAGGAAATGGATGAAAGCTTCCACTCTGGCCTTCTTGGTTGTGTTAGGCATCATTCCATTGCTGTGGCAAATACCCAATAAAAATCAGCTTAGGGGCCAGTGAGATGAGAGCTCAGTGGGAAAGCCACTTGGACCAGGCCTGAGAACCTGAGTTTGACCCCAGAACCCACTGGTATAGGGAACCAACTCCTGCAAGTTGTCCTTTGAGCTCCATACTTCTGTACTCCCCCTCCCCAATATATATTAATTTAGTATATAATAAAACTTTCAATCAATTTAAAAAAGAAAAATGTTTATTTTGGGTCATGGTTTCAAGCCTTTCAGTCTTTGGCCAGCTGGCCCATTTCATTTGCGCCTGTGTGAGGTCAAATATAATGGAAATCCATGGCAGAGAAAGCTGCTCACTGGACAAAGGGGAGCAAAGGGTGGGGTCAGAGTGCCAGTATTTCTGTTAAGGGCATGCTCACAGCCGCTGACTTCTAGAATCCACCTCTTAAAGGTTCCAGTACCCTTCAATAGCACCACAGAGTGTTGACCAAGCTATGAGCATAGGGGCCAGAGAGGGACATTTAAGATCCCAACCATAACGTAGACCCTGTTGCCGTCAGGTGATAGCCACAAGAGCTCGTGAACATTTTCTTGGCAGTACTCTTGCAGGATTTTCTAGCAAGTTGACTTTAGTGCAGTTGAATAAGAGACATTCGGATTAGATGATCAGAAAGTAAAGGAGGAGGCTCTGGCTACAAAGTGTTTGTTGGGAGCCGCCACGAGAGCTGACAAAGTCCGCCATCGCTAGGTGGCGCTGTCGCCCGTAATTCTTCCTAGTACCAAGTAAACTGCGCATGTGCCATGGTAAGCCCGCCAAAACTAAGCCCATCCCACAGCGTTTGGCGCGCTACGAGTAAGCAGCCAATCAGGGGGTGAATACCCCGCTCTGGGGTATATAGGCAGTGCTTTCCCACGCCTTCTCGTCTTCTTCTACCACCATTTTGGTTTATGGGAATAAACGTGTTTCTACGGAAGGATTCTAGTGTGTGTGTGTGTGTTCGTGTGTGTACGGTTTCGCCGGCGAGACTACATGCGCGCGCCCCGCACAAGTGTTCCTTCAGTGCTTACTGGGAACAATCAGCTCTCAGTGTATTGTGTTCTTACTGGAATCTATCCACTCTAGGAGGGCCCTTCTCACATCAAGAGAAACAGTGTTTCCCACATGGCTGACTTCCAAGGCTTTGTCGATTCCTTGTCTGTCTGGGTGTCTGGCTTTAAGGGAACTACTTTTGTACCTGCCATTTATGGACACTTGATGGGACAGTCCTCTCACCTGTTCATTGTTTGGTCTTAGAGAGAAGTGCTAACAAAATCAAATGCAGTGACAGTGTCTACCCTGTGCTTCCCGTGTAGAGTACTCCCCTGAGTGTGACCCAGGCCACAGCCCACAAGCCTGCTTCTTCCCTCCTTCCTTCATCTGGCTTACCATCTAGTGGAGTTCTCTCTGGCTGGGTTCTGTCAGCTTTGATAGGGAGAACTCATCACACAGGAGAGAACCAGGGCTCCAGCTACTGAATCCAGACAGCCAGGTCTTAGGGACACCAAAAACACTCTACACGTTCCTAGACATCCGAGGCAGGGAGACCATTGTGATCCACTAGAGATTTTTTTTAACCTTTCAAAATTTTTAATTGAATAATTTATTAATGCTAAATGTATCTCACATAAATACAGCTAATTTTTTATTAGAAAAAGTATGGAAAAATAAAACTTAATATCTAAAAAAGGCAATTATATTTTATCTTATTTTAGTGTGAATAGGTTTTTGAATGTTGGTTAATGAATCATTGGAAAATGATTAATGTCAAGGTACATAAATAAAATTCTTACTTTTAGAGAAAAGTAGAAAAATTCATCAAAACCCAGCATTATTATGAGATAAACCTAGGTTTAAATCTTGGCTCGACCACTTAAAAACAACAGCTATGAGCAGAGAATTTCAGACATTCGTGGAAGCACAGGGGACAAAAGAAAGTACACACAGTTGCCAGCGACAATTGCAGTCGCTCACGTCCTCTGATCACTTTCCCTGCGCTCACGGTAGGTGTCACTTTATTCAGTGAACAACTACCTCCTGCCATGATAAAAACTAATTCATAATACCATCAGCTCTCTGTAGTGTTCAGATTTCTCATTATCTCATGATGCTCCTAGGATGACACCTCCAGCCTATATCATGCACACACACACACACACCACAGATTACCATTCAAGTTTTGTCAGCTGTGCCTATAATACCTTTTAACAGCAAAAGGGTCTTCTTTTCTTTCTCTCCCTTTTCTTTCTTTCTTTCTTTCTTTCTTTCTTTCTTTCTTTCTTTCTTCCTTTCTTTTTTATTTTTCTTTTTTTGGAGGCAAGGTTTTGCCATTCAGCCCTGACTAGCCCCAAACTCTCTCTGTTTCTCAAGCGACCTTGAACTTTGTCAGTCCTGCCTTGATCTCCCAAGCACTCAATTATACATACTGTAATGTCTTGGCCTTCTAATGGATTTAAATCTCTTTCAAGGACCCTGGGCCTTTTCTTATGACTGTAGTTTGTTTACAGTCATGGCTTAGTTCTTTTGTAGCATATGCATCCGGGTTGTCTGCTCTTCCCTAACAGTAAGTCTGAGATTTTGCAGTTTCGTTAGAAGCCTCACAGAAGTGGCTCTGAATTTCTCACCGTGACCCTCAGGTGACCCAAGTTATCATTGCGCTTCATCACTGGGACTGTTAAGTTGGATCACATCACTAAGCTGGTCCCTGCCAAGATTTATACAATATAAGTTATCCTTTCTCCATTCATAGTTAGTAGTTCATAGAAAGATGCTTTGAAGCCATGTAACATCCTGTTCTGTATCACCTTTGACTCAGTAGTGTCAGCGCTAATGATGTTCCTCCTGAGTCACTGTGGTGGGTATTGTATTTGGTAAGTGGCATTCTACTGTGAAGAACAGTGTTCTCTTTGCTCAGTTATTGCAGTGGATTTGTATTTTGTTCAATGGAATCTGATCTTCCTGTCATTTGACTTGACGTTTCAGCTACCTACACTCAACCAGCCAGAGCCTGCTAGATGTTTTGCTGTGTCTCCATCATTCCTGAGACACTGCAGGATCTTCCATTTTAGTCCATCTCTGTCCTCACTCTGAAAGCAGACATTTCTCCAAGAAGTCCTAGTTCTTTTTAGTGGGAAATGGCCCTCTTACAAACCTAAATCTGGGGTTGGAGAGGTGACTCCGCAGTTAAGAGTACTTACTGTTCTTCCAAAGGATGGGAACTGAGTTCCCAGCACCCACATCAGTAGTATCATAATCGCCTATAACTCTAGCTCCGAGGGATCTGATGCCATCTGGCCTCAGCACACACATGTGCACATGTATGCACACACACACACATGCACATGCTCGAGTGTATGCCGGCATGCACACACAATTTTAAGATAAATAAATCTAAAACAAACAAACAAACAAAAATCTGGGTATGCCCATTGCTTTTGCTGTGTTGAGGTTCCCAAGCTGCCTCAGGCAAAGCTAAGGAATGTGTACACACACTCTGTATACACCTGTTTTACGCCTTACATTTAGTGATACATATGTGTGTGTGCATAAGTGTTGAAAACCTCAAGTTGGCATTGTTACTTTCATGTGTAATCCAATAGTATAGTATCCTTGTTGTCCCCATTTTTATAACTCGTCTGTCCAGGAACAAGGCACCTGTACTTACCCAGCATGCTTATGTCTCCACTCAGTCCTCCCTCCTTTTTCTCAGACTCCCAGCCCTGCCCAGACAGCACCTGTCTTCCCTACACAGGGCCGTAACCACTCAGGCTCCAGGTTTCCCCACCCTGACTTTGAACTCTGCTGGATAGCCCTGGTTTAGTTCTACCTAGTGGATTTTCTCTTTGATGATATCTTTTAAATTAGGATGTTGAGGACTGATACTTTATCTTGTTTATACTGTCTTTGAATCAGAAAACCCTAGCAATATAAAAGGGGATTGGATATGTGCCCTGTCATGTCCTAGAGGGAATTATGTAAGAGTGCTACTCTCCTTTAATGTTTGGCAACATTCTCCAGTAGTCATGTAAGCCTGGAGAATTTTTTAAAGAACCTTTTATGAACTAGGTTTCTTTACTTCCACTATGTGGGTCTTCTTGTGTTGAGTCTTGGTAGTTTAGAGTCTTTAAGAAGCATTTAAAGATTGTACATTTGGCCGGGCAGTGGTGGCGCACGCCTTTAATCCCAGCACTTGGGAGACAGAGGCAGGCGGATTTTTGAGTTCGAGGCCAGCCTGGTCTACCTAGTGAGTTCCAGGACAGCCAGGGCTATACAGAGAAACCTTGTCTCGAAAAAACCAAAAAAAAAAAAAAAAAGCTGTACATTTCTTCTAAGTTGTCAAATTTATGAGCGTAGTGTTGTTCTTACTAGTTCTGTATTGTCCTTTCAGGTGTGCCCAGCCTGTGACACACAGGGTAAAGGTGACCAAGAATAG